CCCCCCCCCCCCCCCCCCCCCCCCCACTATTTACTTCCTGTCCGTCTAGCCTCTAGCCACTTTTTCCAGCTCAACTATTCTCCCTAGGAAGCTCATAAAGAAAGTAGGAGGCAGCCCCTGCCTACCCAGCAAGCCTACCCACACAGGTTTTAGTGGAGGCAAGAGCATGGAGAGCCATGGGCTGAGACCAGGGTCTGGGCCAAACCAGACCCCTCCCCACCTCCCTGTAGTCTGAGATCTGCCCAACCTGGTAAGGAAGAGCCAGGAACCTGTATCATGGTTTGCAATTCTTTCTGACTCTTCTCCAGCTGCACACCTTTACATCATAATTATACAGATTCTCCTGCTATAGATAATTGAAGAATGAGATTTCCATGTTCACAGTCCTTCTGGAGTCCTATCTACCTTCCCTCCACCACCCCCACTCTCAAACACACTTACACTTTGCTCTTGTCTCTCCCTGCACTGCTTTTACAGTCTGCAGGTGTTTGGTAGAAGATAAAAGTGGCTCCTGGGGTAAGATTTCACTTCCTAGAATTACCAAAGTAAAGGTTTCTCTTGATGTCCTCACTGTGGGTGGCAGTAATTATAAAGAATGATTTGAAATACTGGTTTCTACATTGCTTCAAAAATCTCAAGGTTCTCAAATTCATTTGAGTAATCTTGCTTGATCTTAGTGTGGTTCCCATTGAACTTGTGGGAGACTAGATGAACATTTCTACCCTTGGGGATCTCCACCTTCACCAGCCCTCCTGGGAGCTCTGGAGCTCCACATTTTTCCCACTGTTCAGGACAAGATTCCTGAAAGTTTGCCATCATCAGACAGGAGCTGAAATAGCCCAGCAGAAGTAGTTGAAACCACCAGGACTGAGGGGGAGGGGGAAATAAAGAGCTGTGGTGGTGCCCTAGATGGTCAACTTTGGAACTGAAATTAAATTTGTGGGGCCCAGAGACAGATTCCTGGCCTTGGTAGAAGAACTGACTTCTCTATTGTTTTGTTTCTTGAGTTTTTTTTGTTTTTTTTTTTTCTTTTTTCTTTTTGGTGGGTGGCCAGTACAGGGATAGAACCTTGGACCTTGGTGTTATCAGCACCATGGTCTAACCAACTGAGCTAACCAGTCAGCCCTTTCATTATTATTATTTTTTTTTTCCTGTAATGTTTTTTGGTTTGGTCCAAATCACTGCCTCTCCTCTGACCCTGACTCTCCCTATCTACAAAATAAGAGAGTTAAGACTGGGTGAGTTTTAAAGGCCCTTGTCATCTCAGGTTTTGTCCCTTTTCTCAGAGCCTCTGGCCCACAGGGTCTGGGTGGCCCAAGAAGTCAGAAAACTCCTTGACCACAGAAAGGGTATGGAGCTGGGTAGGTTTGGAGGAAGGGTCGGGTAGATGAGGAGAGGGAATTGATTAAACTGTTCCAGAGCCCTCTCATACCCCTTCCTGTCCTTCCCCATTGAGCGCGTGGAAACCCCTGATAGTGAGGTAGAGAAAAACCTCTCCTTTGTCTTCCCCTTGCACAAGCCCATCAAACAGCCCCTGCACCAAGGAAAGGATGGAGCTGGAGAAAACAGAAATGGTAAGGGTTCCCCAGAGGAGGGTCTTGTTGAGTTTGAGTCCCAGTGGGAGCAGCCCCCAGTTCCCCAGCTCAGGACACTGTTGCTATTGTCTCTCACAACTTCAGGACTGGCTGGGTAACCAAGATGCTTTGACTTTTCTTTGCTCTATTTGTCTACCAGGAAACAGGGACAGTTTTTGTTTCCTTTTAGTAGCAACAACAGAGGGGTTAAGTATATCTGAAATATAGTGAGCAACTGAACATCCACTGGCCGGCCACCTCTCTATGGGACAGGAGGCCGAAGAGCCAGGCAAGCAGAGGAGTTGATAGGGTCTGCCCTTCCTCTCCCAGTGATACTCGATGAGGGAAGTGGAAGAAGAGAGGACCTTCAATGCCAAATTAGGGAAGACTCTGAGGTGCTGAGAAACAGGATTCCAGGTACTCGCCAGGTCAGACAAAATTTGATGGCTACTAATCCAGGAACCCACTCCCATAGTAACACCTCATTCCTGCCTACTGGCAAGAGTTCCCTGAACCTATAAGGGGACTAGGATTCCAGGTACTCGCCAGGTCAGACAAAATTTGATGGCTACTAATCCAGGAACCCCCTCCCATAGTAACACCTCATTCCTGCCTACTGGCAAGAGTTCCCTGAACCTATAAGGGGACTGACTGGCAAGATTGCCCTCCAAGCTTTTTCCCAAAACCACAGGCTTATCTTTTTCCCAGTTATTCACTGCATTACTACTCCCATTCCACTCCCATCTGCAGTAGGAAGGGAGGGAAATTGTGTTTACCCATAGCCCCAAGAGCAATCTAGGGGCCTGTATAGCTGAGTTTAAAGGCTGTGTCTATTTTCAGAGGATTGTGGGGGTACACTCTCTTTATCTACAGCCATCCCTAAAGAGGTACGTAAACCAGGCCTGCTTTCTAAATAGTTAAATGTGTCTGAGGAAGTGGGAGAGAGGTATAGGAAAGACCACCCAGACGGAAGGTCTAGAAAGCTGTGCTCTGATAGAGCTGACCAGGAGGGAGAGAGGCTGGGCAGGAAAACACATTGTACTGGAGGCCAGGATGACCTGTCCTTAGCCTGAGCCATCTGCCACCACCCAGGAAGACTGCATTGGGGCCCTTTCTGCCATAGATAAATGGGGAGATGCTGCTTTAGTTCTTAGCCTCTCTCCTTCCCCCATACTCAAGGTGAAGGGCGATTCTCTGATCTTTAGTTGCAACTTCTGGCACCAAAGACTTGATACATGCTAATGGCCTGAAGCTCCCCACAGGGAAGGGGCATACATTCCCAGGCTTTGCCCCTAAATGTAATGCGTGGGGGTCAGGACTACCCAGGGCCCCTGCTTCTCTCCGCCACATCTCATAGTCATTGATTCTGCCTGGCCCAGAGAACAGAAGTCAGCGGAAAGCACAGTGAGTGAGAATCCCAGGGGAATGCCAGGGAAAGAAGGCCTGTCCTGGTACTTCCATTAACTCCCACATGGACTCTCCCCTGAAGGCAGACTGGTCACTTTCCCCAACTCTGTGTGTGCACACATGCATGCACATATGTGTGTGCACACGTGTGTGTGTTCCACCTCATTTTTCCTGGTACTATATCTCAGCCATATATATTCTGTCATTTAATCCTTATGTCAAAGTCATAGATTTTGTGACTTGCCCAAGATCTCACACCCAGTAAATGAAAGATCCAGATCTTGAACCACGTCTTCTCCTTTTAGATTCTATCATCCTCCCACCTCTCCCATCCAATTCCTCTCCCTTCTGGAAACCTCGAGTACCCGGAACTCACAGTGTTTTCCCTTTCTCTGTGCTACCCCTCAGGCTATGAGCTCCTTAAATGCAGCTCCTTTGCAACCCCAGAGCTCAGCAAAGGGGTGGACACATAAGAGACCCCAAGACATACTTGTCTCATGAGTCAGTAATTAGATACTATCCTTGGTAATAATGAACTTAATTAGATTGCTTTTCTCTTTTGTTTTTTGGAGAATGTCTCTGATTTGGGCCCAAAACACACATCCAGGTCCAGTGGAAGGAATCTGTTCTACTGTGAAGCAGGCAGCTTGCAGAGAGAGAAGAGGAGCCTCTTTATCCCTTCCTATTACCTGGGGTCTGTGGCTTTAGCTCTGGCTGAGCTTAGCTGCACTCATGAAATCATTTTGTTGGGGGAGAAGAAAGGTCATTTTGGAGCTTGGACCTCAGAGGGCAATAGGCTCTAGGTTGGAAAGGATGGAACTGAGACCTATTACTCCCACCCTGGTCTTTGGACTACAAGACAAGAGGTTTTCTTTCTTTTTTATGGTGGCTGACCTGTGTAGAAGAGGTTTTCTCAGTGAGCAGGCACTGCCTTGGAAGCATCCACAGTAATGCTGGACTTTGCCACAGTTGTTAGCAGTGATGGAAGAAAAGTCCCAGGACCCAGGTGATTATAAATCTATTTCTCCATGGACCTTATATCTTGCAGAATCTTGTAAGAAGGAAGGAGATCTCAAGAGCTACTTAAAGCAAAGAAGCTCTACTTACAGTCCTGATGACAGCCAGTGCTGATTCCAGGCCATTCCCTGTCTTTAGCTATAGCCTTGAGAGCAATCTAGGGGTCCATACAGCATAGTTTAGAGGCTGTTTCTATTTCCAGAGACTTGCTGGGAGTATACTTTCTTTATCCACAGTAGGACCCACTCTGACAGGGAAGAAGAAAGTACTATGCATATAGCCTGCTTTTCTTTTGCAGTTATTACTTGGCCAACAGCATTATAAACATAGTTCCTCCACAAGTGATTTGCTAAATGAATGGACAATGGAAGTGGCAAACAATGAGGTTCGCTCCTCAACCTAAAGTTTCTCTTTCCCCAGGACTGAGGCTGTGGAAATGATGTTAATTCACGAAATGAGTTTTCAAAAAGCAGTTTGGGGGACTGGCTGGTTAGCTCACTTGGGAGAGCATGGTGCTGGTAACACCAAGGTCACAGGTTCGGATCCCCATACCAGCCAGCTGCCAAAATAGAAAAATAATAATATAATCAAAAAGCAGCTTGTGTGTAGCAAGAGCCATAAAAATGTTCATACTTTTTGACCTAAACAACCCCAGTTCTGGGAATCTGTCCTAAGGACATTCTCCAAATGATTGATTACAAAGACTGTGTAGTAACATGAAGTGTTTATGATGTAATGATAAACAAAAAAGTCTGGAAGAATTGCCCAAGAAATTGAGCTTGTGTGTAGCAAGAGTCATAAAAATGTTCATACTTTTTGACCTAAACAACCCCAGTTCTGGGAATCTGTCCTAAGGACATTCTCCAAATGATTGATTACAAAGACTGTGTAGTAACATGAAGTGTTTATGATGTAATGATAAACAAAAAAGTCTGGAAGAATTGCCCAAGAAATTGGCCAGAGATAATAGTAGTTCTATTAAAATGATGAATTAATTGGAGATTCTTTTTCTCTTTCCCAAACTTTACATATTGGAATATTGATTCTACCCTACTCTGCCACTCTGGGTTTATCAGTCAGGACCCCAACAGAAACAACACACTCAGATGGGATAGTTGAAAGAATATGGGATAGTTTAATAGATGGACTATTCCCTCTATTCTTCCCTGTTTCCAGTCCTTTACACCCTGGTTTCTGCAACTCTCAGTGACTCATTCAACAATTACTGAGCACCTACGTATTGTCCAGGGAGGAAGGCAGACTTTCAAGTACATAAATTATTGTGTCATAAATGCAATAATACATGTACAAGGGTGCTTCAAAAAGTTCATGGAAAGGGCTGTCTGTTTAGCTCAGTTCACTAGAGCAGGGTGTTATAACACCATGGTCAAGGGTTCAGACCCAGTACCTGCTAGCCGCAAAAAAAAAAAAAAAAAAACCTCATGGAAAAATCGTGTTGTCTTTTAACTCTTATTTTTCCTCTAACTTTTTGAAGTACCCTCCTATAAATCAAGTGTTATAAGGAGCACAAAAAAAGAAGCAATTATCTACCAGGGAGGAGGCATGAATCAAGGAAGGCTTCAAAGAGGGGGTGATAGATTAGAGGTCAGTTTTGAAGACTGCCAAGACAAAAGGGTCACAACATATACAAAGGCAGGAACGCTTGGAACAACATCGTGGGTTTAGGAAATCACAAGTGGCTCTGCGGGGCTGGAAGGAACATTGGGTGGGTATGAAGGAACTATGAGAGAGAAGGCTTTACTTAGATCATGCAGGGCCCTGTGCTCCAAGGAGACATTGTGCTTTGGAGCTGTCTTCAGACTTGCATTTTAGAGAGATGACTGGCCTCGGTGGAGAGAGTGGACTGAAGCGGGCAAGAATGGAGGCAGGGAAGAGTGAAAAGAGAAGTCTTTGGGTTTGGGCCGGGTCGCGAAGAAAGTGTGGCCCTAATGGAGCCAGCGGACGCCGTTTCTCAGCATCGGCCTCTCCTGACTTGCACTCGGCCGGCGCCGCGCCTCTCGGAGATCTCCCTCCCGCCCTCGGGGGGTGGGGCGCCTGCGGGCGGGGGAACGGGCAGACTGGGAGGCGAGGCCGGGGTGGCCCTGCCTGGGTGGTCTCCTGTCCCGCCCCCTGCGGCGCGGTTACCTAGCAGCAGATCCGGCCGCGCGGCTCCGGGTAATTTGCGGGTCCCTCAGCCAATGGGAGGGCGTCGCCCCGGCCCGCTCTCTTTTTCTGGGGTTCCAGCCGCCTCCCGGACACTGCCGTCGCCACCTCGAGCCGCGCCGTGCACACGGGATCCACTCCTCCGGCCGCCGCGCCCCACGGCCCGCCGCGCCCCGGCCCGCACCGCCCTGCACTCCGCCCTCCCGGCCGCCCTGCTGTACGCCTGCACCCCCCAGCCTCACCCCCCCCCTT